TTTCTCCCTGCAACACTGGCGTCCCTGTTCCTTCCCAGCCTCGGCGGGGAGGGCAGGGCCTGCTGCACTGAGTCAGCTCTGGGGGCCTGGGAATTGCGAGCGCGGGCACAGAGAGAGCCATTGTCCCTCCGCAGCCCGCTCTTCGCGGTCGCCGTGGGAGAGCGGAGCTGGTTCTCCTCCCGGGGTAACAGCAGGGCGCAGTCGCGCTGAACGGAGACGGCTGGCTCTCGGTCTCTGGCAAGGTGAAGGGCGACGTGGCCCATGAGGGTAGCAACCGACCCTGCCGCTTATATCTGACTTCTGCAAAAGCAAATGGCGTTTCTGCACCCGCTTCCCAGCAAGAGAGCTGCTGCCATCAGCCAGGGTTACTTAATACGGGCGAACCCGGGAGCATATGGGCAGCTTCAGCCCCGGGAGCCGGCACCCAGCCCCATTCGTTTCTGCACCCGCTTCCCAGCAAGAGAGCTGCTGCCATCAGCCAGGGTTACTTAATACGGGCGACCCCGGGAGCATATGGGCAGCTTCAGCCCCGGGTGCCGGCACCCAGCCCCATTCCTGCATCCCACAGCACCTGTACAGCCTGCGCTGGTGCCCCTGCAGCAGGAAGGATGACGGGTGGAGGCGTTACACTGCCTTTTCCACGGGGGAGTGTGGGGGGCAGTAGCAAGCAGGCGCAGAAACCCACCCCCGGCTGTTTGTACTTCTCCCTGGGCTGGGAATTTCTGGCTTCCTTAAGTCACAGAAGGGAGATTTCAGGGTGAAACACAGCCTCGGCTTAGGTCAGGTTGTTGGACTCCGAGGTCCTGGCCACGGCAACTGAGGGTAAGAAAAGCCCCTCAGGCCTTTCCCAAGGGGACAAGGTGTTGTTGGGGAGGGCTTGTTGGTGGTGAGATGGCAGGGGACTTCCTTGCCTCTAAAGTTCAAAGTTTGTAAGTCTCTGAGTTTCACATGAGGGCTACCAGAGGTCACAGCTATATTGTATTGGGCCAGGTGCACCCCTAAACAGGGCCTAAACTGCTTTGACTGGCTTGTTTTCGGGGTAGGGGGGATTACCGTCTCTGGCCCTTTCAGTCACGGGAGCTCAGAGCTGCTTCTGGCACGTGTTTATGTAGCCAGCCCCACAGCACCCTCACCTGGCCCCAAGGCAATCGAGAGGCTTTCTCTACTGCAGAGGCTGAAGCAGGGATGGAGCATGGACCAAGGAAAGCTCCTACCCTGACACAGGAAGGCGCAGCTTGCTGTGCGAGAGGAGGGTGCGGGTGCCCTTGGGTGTGGGAAGTCCTTGTCTGCTTGCTCATTCTGTTGTGTACCTGGTGCTCTTGTTCTTTGTATGGCCCCTGAATGTCGCAGGTTTGCCTCTGTGAGGGAGGGAGGAACTCCTTCAGAGTATTAAAGCTGCTTTAAAGCTGGCTAGGTCATCACCTAGGGCTATAGCTGAAGAATATCAGCTATACCTTCTCAGATAGTCCTGGTAAAATCCCAGCCAGCCAGCTGGTAGGAAAGTTCCTTCCCAGCCTTGCTCTCTGGCTGTGCCTTGCCAAGCGGGTGAGCCCTGGTAATTTCCTCTGAGCTGTGGGGAATGCCTTGGCACGCTCCCTTCCAGGGCTGCGTGGGGAGGTGGGGGAGGCTGGCAGCCCGAGCCCTCCCTGTGTTCCTCCACTCACCTGGTGCAGCCGGAGGGGGAAAGCTCTGAGCGGTTTGCTCTCAGAGGAATGCTACTCTGGCCACAGGCTTGAAACGTGAGCTGCTAGGTAGGAGTTGCCTTTTCCATTCAGTGACCTTTTCTTTTTCCGCCCTGGAGCTGTGCTAAAGTTTAACCTAAAAAGGTGAGGCGCCCCTTGCATTTGGAGTAAAGGTGTTGTCAAAACCACATGGTTACAACAACGTTCAGACATTCTCTCCGATCCTGGAAATTCAGGTTGCTAAGTCCACATGTTCCTAAGCCAGAGCAAACACCCTTAAGAGAAGCAAACATTAACGCCTGGCATGTGCTGCTGAACTCCGGAGGGCTTTCCTACTCCACGTGCTGCCGTCATCGCTGTCGTGGCACCTGGGTGCTGCCTGCCGCTGGGCAGCAGGCCAGGCAGCGCAGGCATGCGGAGCGGAGCTAGCCGTGTGCCGGTTGCCCACCGCCTGCCTCTTCCTCTCTCCGCAGATTTGGCTTTGCCCTCGTGCTGGCTTCCCTCCCTGCCATGGCTACTGGTGAAGAGATCTCCCCTGCCCTGCAGGACTCGTGGGGGGACTTCTGGCTCTTCCGTTTCTTTGTTAATGCTGCTGGCTACGCGAGTATTGTGGTGCCGGGATTCCTTCTCATCCAGTACTTCAAGAGAAGGAATTACCTGGAGACAGGTAAGGGCAGGAGCTTTCCATCCACATCCTGCCTCCCTGTGGGCTCTCTGCACCCTATTCAGCGCAGACAGGTCATTTCCAACCTGCCTTGCCAGACCAGAAGTGAGCTGCTCACAGAGCTGCATCCCAGAGCTGTCTAGGTGCTACCCTGAAACAAATTTCTCCGAGGCCCCCGCGCCAGCAGATGTGGAGGCTAGTAAGGAGGGAGGCGTCACCTCTCAAGCTGGTGCGGCTTCTGGTGCCAAGGCTGTGGCTAATTCTGGCTCTGTGTTCTCTTGCCCTGTTCAGGCCGAGGCATTTGCTTCCCTGTCATCAAATCATGCGTGTTCGGCTCTGAGGTGAAGTCTGTGCACCAGGAGGACGGCTCCCTGCCAACCCGAGCGGAGCCCACAGAGTCCTCTACAGCCCGACAGGTCTTCAAGCTGCTCTTCTGCGCTGCTGGTCTACAGGTAGGGGCCCTGGGCCTGTGTGTGTGGCCATCCCACTCTGGGACGAGGAGGTGGGTAGGAGTTTGTGCCATCAGTTCTCTGAAGACCAAGGATGCAGTGCTGTCCTGGATCGGGGCAGGGTTACAGGCTGGGACACAGCCTCTCAACCAGGACAGCCCACCAGAGCTGCTGTGTCACCTCTGAGGGCTGTGGAGGTCCGTTTAGCTGGTGCCATCTGGCTTGGGACCGCCTGTTCATCTGATCACAGTCCTCTGCAGCCATGGATAGGGGAAATTCTGTGATTCAGCAGATCGTTAGGGCTGCTTTTGTTCTGGCCCTCATGTCAGAGCAGCAGATAGTTTGAGCCCTCTTACCCCCAGGCCCTGCTCTGGGTCACTTTCTGGGGCTGACGTGTCCTGCCTTGATGGACTGGATGCAAATGCTGGAGAGAAATGCTAAATTCAGCTACAGTTAAATACAGGAATTTTTAATCTTGGTTTCCTGAAGTCTCAGCTACAGCCTGAGCGTCATTAGGAGGGGCAGCTTTTTGGGTCTGTGAGAACTAAAAATAGAACTGTGAACGTTGTGGTAGAAACACCCCACACATCCCACAGCCAGCAGAAGACACCCACTTTCTGGCCTACTATCCCACCCCCTTCAGGCTTGCTGCGGGTCACCAGCGAGTCCTTCCATCAATCTGTGCGTCAGTTTCTCGGGAGGAGGTGTGTGGTGAGAGGAAGTCTGTGTTACTTTTGTGAGGGGCTTGGTACTGTTGCACGAGAAGTAGCAGAGGTGACAGCCAGAACAGAGATCATCCCTGGAGGACAATTTCGTCTGCTGGGCTTGAAACGAGAATTGATTTGGATGGAAGAACCAGGCCTAGGGAGCTGGAAGTGAAAACCAATGCAGAGGCCACTGGGAAAACTGCTAGGACGTGCCGCAGGGAGCTGGCACCAAAACGGCAGCTGTGCATCGGTAACTAACGTTCCCTGATCCTGTCGGTCTGGTTCAACGGGCAGCTTAAAGCGTAACCGCTCGCTGTACGGTAGGATGTTTGCTTTGCGGGCTTCTCTGCCCTTGGAGAGGCTGTAAACTGAGCAGGTTTTGTCTGGGACGGGATGTTCCTGGTTGTAACCACACAGAACAGTGGGTTCCCTCAGATGGGTGGCCCCATCTCCCAGTGTCTCAGGGAGGCACTGCCGTGCAGAGGATGAGGCAACGCTGGGGCAAGCGAGGGGTTGCTTGCAGCGGCCGTTGTGGGTCCTGACTCTCCCTGTGCTCCTCCTGCTTCGCAGGCCTCCTACCTCACATGGGGCGTCCTCCAGGAGCGTGTGATGACAAGAACGTACGGTGCCACCGAAACGGACCCTGGTGAGAAGTTCAAGGACTCCCAGTTCCTCGTGTTCATGAATCGCATCCTGGCCTTCACGGTGGCTGGTCTGTACTGCGCCCTGACCAAGCAGCCGCGCCACGGGGCTCCTATGTACAAATACTCCTTTGCCTCCCTCTCCAACATCCTCAGCAGCTGGTGCCAGTATGAGGCACTCAAATACATCAGCTTCCCCACCCAAGTGCTGGCCAAGGCCTCCAAAGTGATCCCAGTGATGATGATGGGCAAACTGGTGTCGCGCAAGAGTTACGAGTACTGGGAGTACCTGACTGCTGCCCTCATCTCTGTGGGAGTCAGCATGTTCCTGCTCTCCAGTGCTCCCAACAGGCACATGTCCACTGTCACCACTTTCTCAGGCGTAGTCCTCCTGGCTGGCTACATCATCTTTGACAGCTTTACCTCCAACTGGCAGGACGCCCTCTTCACCTACAAGATGTCTCCTGTGCAGATGATGTTTGGTGTCAACGTCTTCTCCTGCCTTTTCACGGTGGGCTCGCTCTTGGAGCAGGGTGCCTTGCTGGAGTCGGTACGCTTCATGGCCCGCCACTCGGAGTTCACAGCCCACGCCGTGCTGCTCTCGGTGTGCTCTGCCTGCGGCCAGCTCTTCATCTTTTACACCATCAACCAGTTCGGGGCAGCCGTCTTCACCATCATCATGACTCTCCGCCAGGCCTTTGCCATCCTCCTCTCCTGCCTCATCTACGGGCACACTGTCACTGTCGTGGGCGGGCTGGGCGTAGCCGTTGTCTTCATGGCCCTCTTCCTCCGCGTCTACGCCCGCAGCCGCATGAAGAAGCGCAGTAAGAAGCTCCCGCCGGGCGAGACCCCTGTACAAAAGGTCTGAGGAGCTGGGGCCATGGTGTTTAAGCCATGCCTGCTGTCTTGCCTCCACTTGGGGGTACTTGCTTGATTTCTCAGAACCTGCTGAGGAGCAGGGTGGGGTATGGATAGGCTGGACCAGTGACTCACTTTTCCACCTGCTTTTCCTGGGGAAGGGGCTGGAACAAGCCCAGGGAATGCTCTGGGCTGCCATAGCTCCACACATTTCCATTTGCCTTAATAGGTCAAAGACTTCCAGCCAGGGCACGGGCCTGGGGAAAAATTCATGTGGGGCTGCTGGTACTCCTGCCCCACCTCTGTCTTGTGGCTTCTCTCCAAAGTCACTGATGAATCAGGAAACTGTTTTCCCTGGCACCATCTTGCCTCTGGCTAATGGTCCTCCATTTCTGTCACCACGACAGAGCTCAGCAGGAGGAAAGGGCAAGCAAAACACTAGCTTTTGTTTTGAAACACCTCCATGTGAGACAAGTCTAAAGCTGAGCCTGTCCCAGGGAGGGGGGGAGCTCTCAGCCCCCGTCCCAGAAGGTGCTCCAGGTGGGACAGGCACTGATAAGGGAAGGACTGCCAGCCTGTCCTACCCCAGGCCTGGGATCTGCTCTGGGAACGCACTCTGCAGTGGGCCGGTACCTCCCAGTTTGGTTTTATCAGTTGCTTGCCCCTACTCCGAGACAGTTTTCTTTGCTCCGCTTGGCCCAGGCTGATCTTTATGCAGAGACTGAGGCTGGCCAGTACGCTTCCTAAGGCTTGCTGAGTTGTAGGCTGCTTTTTGGTTACATCTGCTGCATTCATAGGCCAAAGGCTGCGCTGCCCAGAAGCCCCAGCATCACCTCAGGGTGTCTCAGTGCCACAGTTTCTGGGCTTTGTAGTTGCCATTCAGAGAAGCACAAATAGCCCCTCTTCTTCCTGCCAACTGGAGGCATCGGCCCCAGCTTTCAGGGGGCCTGGCCAGAGCCCCACTGTGTCTGGAGGGCTGAGTCTGCTGCTGTCATAGGCCAAAGGCTGCGCTGCCCAGAAGCCCCAGCATCACCTCAGGGTGTCTCAGTGCCACAGTTTCTGGGCTTTGTAGTTGCCATTCAGAGAAGCACAAATAGCCCCTCTTCTTCCTGCCAACTGGAGGCATCGGCCCCAGCTTTCAGGGGGCCTGGCCAGAGCCCCACTGTGTCTGGAGGGCTGAGAGATGGGGCAGAGCCTGCTTGCGGTGCCTTGTGCCTGCTCCACAGACAGCACGGGATGGAGCGAGTGGGCACCTGCTCCCCAGGCAGCAGGGGACGGAGCAGTGGAAGCTGCTCTTCCCCAGGAGCCTGGGTTTTCCTGGTTAACCCTTTTCTCCTCAACACAACCTGACTGACAAGCCAGCAGGTTTCGGTACTTTTGAAAGGCAACTTTTTTCTCTTTTTATTTTATTAAATTAAAAATATGCTGCATATAGTGCCCTGGGGGTAAATGTTCTTTTTAAATTATTTTTTTTCAGGTACCTGGAAGGAGGGGAAAGACTTCCCAACCCTTCCTGTGTCCCTAGTCTCTCTGGGACAGCAGAGCTGTCTTTGCAAAGACAGATGCCTCTGCCTTTGCCCAGGCAGGTGTCAGCCAGGGTTGGATCCAAAGCTGCAAGGTCTGACACAAGATCCTTGCACACACAACTGGGTTTGGACCCCCGCTCATGCTGATGGGCAGATGGAGAAGCTGCTCGCCTCACTCTGGTTTGGCTCCTGGGTTTCCTGCATGGTGCAGCTTGGGCAGCCCCAGTCAGCGTAGCTGGAGAGAGACGGTGCAGAGGCCTGCTGAGCACCCGCCAGCCAGGGCCACCAGTGCTGCAGGCAAGGCCCTGGGGGAGCCCATCCTTTATGGGGTGCATCTGCACCAACACCAGCTCCACACCAGGGCTGGGGAGGCTGAGGATGTGAATGGTACATCCAGCTGGTAAAAAACCTTGTCTGTAGGCCTGCGCCGTCTGGTTGTGAGGTCTGGGGTCAGAGACAGGACCTTGGCATAACAGAGCTAGAGGAAGGGGAGACTTGGGTGAGGGCTACCAGAGAAAGAAGAGGAGACCAGGAACAGGAGCTGCTTCTCACAGTGCTGAGTTAGCTGAGCCAGCAGGATAGCAGAGCTGGTGCTTGTCTCTCCGGCAGTTTTACCTGTGCTCCTTTCCTAGCTCCGAGCTCTTGAAAGTGCCTGTGCAGGTCTCACAGCCCTTCATCCTGCCCCTACCATCTGTTGCCAGACTGAAAATGGAATGTTGGGTTTTTTCTTTAGTCAAAAAAATAGGTTGTTTGCCAGGTTGGGAATGGGATACCTTTTCTAATTTAAATGTAAATATAAAGAAAAAATTAGCAAAAAAAAAAGGTGAAACATTCTAAGTTGAAAAGAATGGACTTTACTGATTCATTATTTGACAAAACCTTCCTATCCAGAGAGAAATCTTACTTTTAAACAGTTTTTTTTCTCCCATCTCAGGGAAAGAAAACCCCCCTGAAGGCATTAGCTAGCTCAGCGACAGCGCTGCCCTAGCAGCCTGCACCCAAACAGCTGCCACACGGGCAGCGCAGTGCCCCGGTGTGCAGCGAGGGACCGCAGCAGGCTCTGCCTCCTCCCTCCCCGCTGAAGGTGGATACTGGCTAAAGCCCACTCTCCCCTGCCAAACCCCAGGGGCCAGTGTGGCTGAGGATGACAAATCCCGCTCGTGGGGGTGAGCTCAGTGCAAGGGGCATTTCAATTAGAAGTGATGCCCTGGGCTTCTCCATCATCTGGGACATGGGCAAAAGGCAGGGGATGGCCAGATACTGCCAAGCCCCCCAGGGCTGCAGAAGCCCGGAAGGGGCAGGCTGGAGAAAAGGAGGAGTCTAGAGCACAGAGCCCTTTGGCCTGAGAGCACAGGAGAGGCAGCAGGCCCCAGGGACGCCCCGATCAGAGCGGGCAGCAGCACTGCAGGCTCTGGTCCTGGCACGGCTTGCCCAGCTGACGCGTGCAGATGGGAAAGGTTTGTTCCCAGGCTGTGGGGCATGCAGCGCTGTAGGTGCAGAACCGCTGCCTGGCTGGAGATGACCCCAGCTGCACAGCAGGCCATGTGTTGCTCCTACCCACTTCATGGGGGCTGGGCAGGGAAGGGGTAGAGATGAGCTAAAGCAGGGTTCTGAAAACCAGTCAGGGCAGGGGACAGACCAGCAGCCCAATACTCTGAGGCACAGGCGGAGACCCCCTCTGTATGTTAAGCATGAAACACAAGGGACCCTGCCATGTAAACCACCCTCTTTGATAGTTTAATTCCAAGTAAAGCAAAACAACAGAAAAACAAACAAAAAAATAACGAAGCCAACCAAAATACAATACCCTGGGGGTTCAGGGAGGCCGCAGCTCAGAGGAAGGACTCTCCCACCCCGATGGAACAAGGGCAGTGTTTGATGCCTACTGGGAACATGGGAGACCCCACAGCGGGGACAGAGGGGAAGCCTGATGCCTCCTCACCACATCAGCTGTTCCTACACAAGCAGAAAGACACAGGACAGGCATTGGGCTGCCTGAATCACTGACAAACAGGGAATCGTGCCCTCCTGCCCCCTGCCAAAAAAACTACCACCCCCAACCAACCAAATGCAGAAAAAGAGACACCACCAAGGAGTCAGTAGCAGCTGGTGGGAGCAGACCCCCTTGTAAGCAGACATGACATGGGGCAGAGGCCTAGCGGGTGAGAGAAGACGCTTCCTCCTACTTTAGTCTACCTCTTGCATGCGGGATGCGTCTTCCTCTCCCTCCAGAGGGGGGATTTCATCAGGGACAGCTGCACTGGGCTCCTCTGCAGTCACCTCGCCTGAGAGAGGGGAGGAAAGGAAAGATGAGGCCTCCACGTGACACCAAGCAATCCCAGAGGAACAGCCTCTTCCACAGCAAAGACTGGCTCCTGCTCACAGCCTGAGGGACAGGGCTATTAGCACCTAGTAGTTACGCCAAGCCACAGCACCTCTTCATTTACATTTTGCCCAAAACACCAGTTTGGAGAAAAAAGTAGGGTGCAGCACAAGCTGTTTCACCAGATGGGTGACATCTCCCATGGCAGACTTTTGACATTCACCATGAAGAACTGAAAAGCCTCAGCTTGTCATCTGAGCAGCCTGGTGGTGGCTCCTGGCCTCATGGAGGACAGGAAAGTCCACTCAGAGCCCTAAGCCCTCCCCAGAGTACTTTGTTCCAGGTTTCCACTTGCCCCGCGCCACATTATGTACACAGCCAGTTCTACACATCGCACCAATGTGGTTTGCTCACTGCCCTCCCCCTGTCCCAGACAGCTGCGCGCTAGCCTGCCCAGCTAACCTGCTTTCAGGACCTGCTTCAGGCCCAAGAAGCTGCATGGACACTTACCAAGCCCCAGTTTGATCATCCTGTAGATGCGGTTGGAGTGGGTTTGGGGATCTTCCAGGGAGAAACCAGAGGACATCAGAGCAGTTTCAAAGAGTAGCACCACCAGGTCTTTGACAGCTTTGTCATTCTTGTCAGTGTCAGCCTTCTGGCAGAGGATTTCCACAATTGGGCGGTCAGGGTTGATCTCCAAGTGCTTTTTGGCCATCATATAGCCCATGGTAGAATTATCCCACAGCACCTGAGCCTTCATGATGCACTCCATGTTGGCCATCCAACCGTAGGTGCTGGTGATGATGCAGCAGGGAGACGAGATCAACCGGTTTGAGATAGTAACCTGCCAACGTGGCCAAGGGTTAGCTGAGCAAGGTTCCCACACGCCCTGGACTTGGCCCAGCCACAGCACACACAATACCTGAGGTCTTTGCCCCAGGTTCACCAGGGGACAACCCAAAGCAAGCAGAAATCATCCAAGCAGCTCCAGGCCTGCTGCACAGACCAGCCTGGACAGCTCAGCCAGCACCTTCAGTACCCACAGCATGTTTCCCGCACTTACCCTCTCCCATCAATGCACGTATTTGGGTCAGTGCCCCTCACCTGCCGCCTGGATGCCTACAACAAGATGGTGTGGTGCATGCTGGCACCTCCAGTCTCCTTCAGCAGTTCCTCTGCAGGAGATGAGAGGCCTGCATTGAGCTGGGGCCCTTGCCTGTGCCACAGAGGGCCCAGCCCTCCTCCCTCCAGCCCAGGACACAACCCTAGGCTCAGCTCCTTGCCCATCTCACCTTTTCCACCTTCTTGTCCAGGATCTCCTTCATGAATTTGCAGAGGGTCTCAAACTTGGCCTTGCTCTCCTGCACCTTCTTTTTCTCCTCCTCATCCTCAGGCAGCTCCAGCACTTCTTTGGTGACCGATACCAGGGTCTTGCCATCAAACTCCTTGAGCTTCTGCACACAGTACTCGTCAGTGGGCTCCGTCATGTACACCACCTCACAGCCACGCTTCTGCACACGATCCAGAAAGGCCGAGTTGGCAACCTCCTCCTTACTCTCCCCTGGGTGTAGAAATGAGATGTCACCAAGATGTAAGAGCTGGTTACAGCAGGACAAACTGTACCAGCTGCTCGGAGCCCCTAGCATAAAACTGGCTGCAGCCAGGGTTCTAGGCCTACTGATCCTTCCCCAGCCCCCAGGGATGGGCTGGGATTCAGCAGGGAGTGCCTGCTGAAGGCAGCCCCCAGCTGACCTACCTGCAAAAATTTGCTTTAAGTTAGGGCTGGTAGGCAGGTAACCTGCCTCCACTTCACTAGGGCACGGAGGAGCTCTGGCTCACCTGTAATGTAGCAGATACTGTTCTGGGTCTCCTTCATATGGGACACATACTCTGAAAGCGAAGTCACCTCATCGCCCAAGTGGGACATGCGGTAACGCAGCAGCTCCAAAAGGCGCTTTCGGTTGGTCGCGTCCTCATGGACGCCCAGCTGGGGGCAGAAGAGGTGCATGAAGCCTCCAGGATGGGACGCGTGCACTTGGGCACCCTCAAGGCAAAGCCATCTCTGCCCACCCCCTGACCATTTCAGTCCTGGGCCTAGGGCAGCCAGAGGGGCCAGGTCTTTAGGGCACTCGCGAGACCCCCCCCCCCCTACCCTAACCCCCACCCAGAGAAGACAAGCCTCCCTTCTCCAGATGCAGGGTGCCCAGCTCTCACCTTCAGATTCTTGGGAAAGGCCTCATAAAATTTTTTGTAGCTCTCTTTGTCCTCTGCCAGCTCGGAGAAGAGCTCCGAACATTTCTCCACCATGTTTTTCGGGATCACCTTGAGGATCTTGCTCTGCTGGAACACCTCACAAGAGATGTTCAGAAGCAGGTCCTCTGAGTCCACAGCGCCCCAGATCAAGTCTGCGTACGGGAAATAAAACCAGGAGTCAGGTTAAGAGCTCTGAGCTTCATCACAGGAGGAAAAGTGCTAGGACACCAACTGCTGTGCGCCCACACCAGCAAGTGCCACAGCCAGCCACTTTATACTGGGAGCAGTACCAGGGTTGTGGGGGGTCCCCAACTGTGCACCAGGAGGCTGAGGCAGGAGGGCTCTTAGGTACTCAGGGATGGGCTCATCACTGCTGTCCATGATGAAGACATGCCTCGCAGCTTAATGTTATTATTATTATTGTTCTCAAAGAGGTCAAAAGGGACACAGCGCAGGATGAAGAGCAAGGCCCTGAATTCCATCTGCCCTTCAACAGAAGAGAGCTGCAGAGCCAGAGAGGAAAACCAGCTGCCATGGTGTTACCCCTTCCCCCAGGACCCGCTGTGGGCAGGCTGAATGGCCATTCCTCAAAACTGGGGCTGGCACAGCAGGGTCTCTAGCATCCAAGCAGCCTGCATTTCCCCCTCCTCAGCCCTCTGTCCCCTGTGTCCCAGGGCTCTCTTGCATCCAGCAGGCCTGGATGGAGAAGCCATGCTTCTCTGAGGCCCAACATGCTCCTGTCCTGCTTCTAGGCTTGCACTGCCAACCCTATAACCTGCACAGGAGTCACAGTGCAGGCTGGGACACCATGGAGTGGCCAGGGAGCCCTCAGTCCCACTGAGGCATGACCATGTGGTGGCTCTAGGCATGGCCTGGAAGGGGCCCTCTGTCTCTCTGAGGGTGGCCCAGCAACCACCTCGACAGCCAGATGGTCCTTCCAGTTATTGTCAGGTTCTTGTACAACTCGCCATATTCCTGGGTGCTGTTGTCAGGGTTGTGGGTCCAAATAGGCTTGGTCTTGTTCAGCTCCTCCTGGTCAATATATTTCTCCTTGATTTTTTTTTGTCTTTTTCTTCCTGCCTTTGCCTCTCTCCACCTCCTCAGAACCCACATTCTCGATTTTTGGGTTTCTCCTCGTCTTTGGATTCTGACTCTTCCTCTTCCTTCTTGCTTTTCTCCTCCTCTGCCTCATCATCACTGATCTCTTTCTCACATTCCTTCTCTAGCTGTGGAGAAAGGGACAAGCAAGAGTCAGGGCCATGAGCCCAAGTGTAGCCTCAAGCAACTGCTACCAGAAATCCTTTTGCCCCCAGATGAGAGAAGTGGGCATCCTCCTGATGTAACACAAGGCCCAACACATGCAACACCTGGAACCAGGGCTTCTCTTGAAACCAGCCCTCAAGAGTCCCTCCACAGCTCATGCAACCAAAAGCTGTGGCTGAGTAGGTGTGACAAGGGGCAGGAAACCCTCCTCCCTCCGTGGCTGGTTTAGATGACCTCCAGCTGCACAGAAGCATGGCTGGATACCCACAACCTTAACCTCCAACAAGACTCCAGCCTCAAATCACCTCTGGCCACAGAAGCTGGGAGCACCACTGCTCCATACCCAGCAGCCAGGAGCTATGGAAGGGAGTTGAATAGCCCATATTCTGCCCTTCTCCAGGCTCCTGCTCCCAACACCACCCAACCCTGCCTCCGGCCTTCCAGGGGGTCCCCACAGTCTTTCCCTTACGTACACAGAGCGTGATGGGGTACCCAATGAACTGGGAGTGCTTCTTCACCACCTCTTTGACACGCTGTTCTTCCAGACCTCTGTCTTGTCCTCCTTCAAATACATGATCTCTTTTGTGCCCCATCCAATGGGCTCACCTGTGGTGCAAGGAGAGAAACGTTAGTGTTTCAGGGCATAGTGTTAAAGGGCAGAGAGCAAGTGGGACCAGCTCCTCGAGCTTAAACACTACTTGATCCCCAACATTATCAAGTGTGACTGACAACGCAGCCAGCTCTAGGGAGCACCAGGAAAAGAAATGCTTCTAGTGGAGAAGTACGCTTGTGATGCCGTGAAAAGCCGGAATTGAAGACTCAATAGTCGGCAGACTATGAAGCAGGTATTCTTTATTGCGGCACCAGGCACACGGGGGATCTCTCCTCCAAACGTGCGTGCCAAACACCCTGTCATTTCAGGTTAAATACAATCACAGTATACATATTCATTATATTTCTGAGAAATGCTTAGCATATTCATTACTTTTCCAATAACTAATTAGCATATGTTAATATCTTTCACGCATGTCTGTTGGTGTCCTCGGATGCTCTTTGGGAGTCTTAAGATGAAGGCTTATACTCCTCATCACAGTGTCCGCTGGTTGACCTTTGTTTCTGTGCAAACTCAGTTCTAAGGTGACGTATACCGTGTCCTTCCAGGTTGTTTTGCTCTGGTCTTGTGGCCCTCTTGGTGCCTCTTTATCTCTGTAGCTTGGTGCATCTGCCCTCCCAAGGCTGAGCTGTCCAAATAACATTATTTAGGAGTCTCTTTATCTTAGAGCTTTCCTATCCCCCCCCCAAACAGCAAGTCAATTCTGTCTTAGTAGTGTTATTTAGGAGCCTTTTTATCTTAGAGCTTTCCTGTCTTCTCAAAACAGCAAGAATCTACTTTAATTACAATCACCCTAGTAAGTGGAAATTTTACATTTACAGGTATCACTTGGTTTTGTACAAAATGTGCCATGGTCAGTCCGGACAGTGAAGGAGCCCCCAGCTGACGACTCCCAAGCATACTGCTCATCATCGTCGTGTTTAGTAATGACAGCCGCCTTCTCAGCCACTAGACAGGCAGAATAGGAACCCACACCAAACTGCCGCATCATAGAGATGTCTGCACCAGCCTTTGAAAGCGGAGAAAGACTGATAGACCCCTGAAGAGATGGGAGATGTGTGCAACTGATTCACGGCAGCAAAGAACTGGGTCAGCGTGAAGAGAAGAAGAGGTAAGCGCCAACAGGCAGCCAGCCCTACCCTCAGCTCCTCCCTGCCGCTGGGAAGGTGGGGAAGCACGCTTGGGTAGGCCAGCAGCTCAGACAGCAGAAGAGGCAGCAGGGCTGGGGTTGTACCCCAGGTCCCCTCGGGAAGCCATGCTGCCAAGGGCACCGCTCCCGCAGGGCTTCCGCAGAGGCGTCGGTACCAGATTTGGCAGCAGTGCCCAGGCTGTTGACGAGGTCCGCTTCTGTCATCCCAGTGCCAGTGTCTGCCAGGGTCAGAGCGTGGTCCCAGGGGTTGGGAACTGTGTCAGTCCTGAGGTCCTTGCCGCTGCTGAGCTTCGAGGGGTCAGCCAGGCTCTCGTAGGGACCTCGCCCAGCACCCAGGGGAGATGGTGATGCTCGGCACGGCCTCCCTCCCCCGGCACAAGCCTCGCAGGCCGCCCAGGCACCGGCCTCTCCCCAGGCACCCCCAGTGGTACAGTGGCCTCCCCCGCAGACCCCCGGGCTCATGTCGGAGATGAGCTCCCACAGGGAGATCTCCTTGTTGGGAGCAGAAGGCGTCGATGATGAAGGACATGAGCTGGGCGAAGGCTTCCGCGCCCTCCCGCCCAGGCACAGGCCGTCAGCGCTGGGGCAATGGCCGGGGGGGTGGGGGTGGAGGGGTGCCCCCCCCACCCCA